GTTCTGATTGGTTGTTTTTGGAAACCCGGGTGGGATTGTTGGCCAAATACCAAATTTGGAGCCTACAGGGGGGAAGCCCAGGAGGAACCTGGTTTTCTCTTGTACTACTGTCAGGATATAATGAAAGTTTTGAAAGCAATGATGACAAAAATGCACCTACTGTAGCTTTAAGCCTATCACACTTAATGGTAGTGGAACTAGCTTGCTTATGTGTCCTTGAGTAATTGCCAGCTCCATCAGTGCTGCTCTGTGGCTGACCTCTGACCCCCCATAGGTGGGCTGCTAAAAGAAAACTCTTTTGGAGATCAATATTGCATATATACAGATCCAAAACTCCTTCTCTTCCACAGTGGACCTGGATGGTACAATTCCCGTGTCATTACCAGTGCTGCAGCGAAAAACACTGATGCCTAAAATAATATTTTTTTTTTATATTTGGAGCTCAGAGAGCCGTGAAATCTTATAAACCTTCAGAAATCAGTAAACAAATATTGCGAACATCTTTATTGTAGAGAGAACATTTGCATAGCACTCCCTCCATCCCTCTTCCTCCAGCTAAATAAAGGATGAAATCTGAAAACTATGGAGGAGTACACATCAGTATCCCACATACTTACAGCAGTGAAGTGGAGGACAGGATGGCTGAAGGGCCAGGATGTGTGGACTCTTGTTAGAGAACAATCCTCATCTCATCTCTGCTGTTTTGTTTTTTAATTATTATCTTTTTGTTGTCTTCCAGAGCTGATGCTGGTATTTACAGCCCTTGTGTGTCCCAGCACTTAGTGCACGCTACTACACGCTGCCCTTGTGGTTGTCAATAAGGGGCTCCATGTCAGCGTGTGAGTAATTTAGAGCGTTCTCGTGGCTTTTGGAGTACGCACCTGGAACAAAGCCTGTAAACGGAGCCCCCACTCTACCGCCTGACTCACTCTGCCCTCGTCAACTACGCCAGTCTCATTACATGGCACTTATCAGGATTGAAATGCCACAGCTTCAGAGCCCAGCTTCTTGCTTACACTTATACAGAATGTAGATTTACACAAGGCTGATGATCATCAGTGTCAGCTGTGCTTTTATCAAAACATCTGAAGGGGGCATCACTGTGTATCATTAGTCTCTCCATTTAGAAATGGACATTTAAACCAGTTAATCTCATATTAATATCTTTTTTTTGTAAAATGTCCAGTGTCAGGGGTTTGATGAGTTTTGTGTTTTTGGTTGCACTGGTATTTTAGTTCAGTACTGCAGGTAGTATTTTTTCTCTAGTTGCAAAAAGTATGTGTGTATGGTAAACAACAAATTATACGTTAAGAATAATAAAGTCGGTTGGCTGGGTTTGCCAGTTATCATCAACCATTAATCAAGATCTATTACAGTACTAACCCGGGCAACATGATATTTCCTGTGGCTATTCATGGCCCCAGGTGGATAATTAATTTATCTGCCTACAGTCATGGAATAACCAATCATGGAATAACCAAAACTTAACAGATGGAGATCGAATATGAGTCTGTTGTCTGACATAAAGAAAGAACCACTGCTATATACGTATCTTTACAGTATATGGTTCTTGAAGTTACTCATAATCAATTTTACCATTCTACACCGACAGGAAATGTTACAATACATTTGAATGCTGCCAACAATTAAACAACAAGACAACACTCAAGCACACACACACACACACACACACACACACACAACATACTCAAACCCTGCTGTTTGTGTGTGTGTTATAGAATGGGGACAGAGCTCTAGCAGTATCGATGACCTTCTGACCTTCGGGCCAAACTTTACTGCATCCTGGGAGGTGGAAGCTTTTAATTTTAATGACCCCATGAGTTTTAATCAGTGAAGCTGTCTTGTCTGCTTTTAAAACTAATGCTACACATCAAAAATAATAAAATATACAAAAATACTCGGTAAGTATATATATGTGTGTGTGTATATATATAGATATATATACACAGACAGTCTGGGTGGAATGCGTGTTCCTTTGTGTGAGGTTTAAAACAGCCTCTGATGCAATATTCATGTCACGAATTTGGTATTTTGGATTTTCAGCAGCTGGTACCGTACAGCCCACCCCTTCCCCAGGCAGGGAGGAGGAGGGTGGGTGAGTGAAAGAGAGGGAGGGTGAAGAAAAGGAAAGGGGAGGGGGGTCCTGTCCTGAAAAACACACTCCAAGCTCCGGCTGTTTACATCTCTTTGGCACGTCTGTGGCTGTTTCCATGGCGACGGGAGTAAAGATAGTTGGGATGTGTCAGAGATACAGTGCGCCGAGTGGTGCTGATTGCTGGACGTGAGTTGAAGAATGAACAGGGTACACAGGAAGTGGGAGAGGAGGGCGCCGGCTCTCCATTATCTCAGCCTGAACCTATGGGAGAAATCAACGCTGGCCGCCAGACAAATCTTCTGTTCTTAGGCGCCGGCTGCTCTGTTTGCCTTTTACCCTCACTGGGAGATGATATTTACAGCTGCACTAGGCATGATGCTCAGGTCAAAGCACACCTGTGTTATTAAAGTAAATGATAAAGTGCAGCAACAACAATCACCTCCCCACCACATTCTGCTGTTAGGTATGGCAGAGGTCACTTACAAATCCTACATATTTCACTTGCACTGTCAGTAGTCATTGTGTATAGTCGTATATATGTTTACATATCGGTAACATTTGAATTTTTCATCCCTAATCCAAATCCGATCTCTCAACAATAGGACCCTCTCTGCCGCTCTGATGTTCCAGCATCTGGTTTGTATCTGTTGCTATGGGTAACACCACCACCCAGTTCCAGTACTCGAATTTGCATTTCTTTAAATAAAAAATTCTGTAATGGCTCCATGTGTCTTTTTTCCCCTGCAGGATGAGCGGACAGGATTTTCAAAAGAACACAGGGTGTGATCAGAATCGTAGCAGGAGCAGGTCATGGTCAGAAATCCTGCAGTTGGCTGGTGGGGAGGTGCAGGACTGAACAAAGAAGCCCACACAAACCTGTTCATGTCTCATTACAGGAAGATCCAGATAAAGGTGGATTTGGCCGAAAATATAACAGACTCCCTGGTTCAACAAACATTCACGTTCCTATCATTTGGACAATGGAGACAGTCCAACTGGATAGGACTGATGGACACTCATGTCTATTAATTGCTAGGATAGCAACTCATGTCAGCTGGACATGCAAAGCAGACAATCATACAATTCATCATTTGTAATGAATTCAGTTTCTAATGTGCAATATAAACTACCCTGCAAGCATATATAGCAGTGTTGAAGCCAACGCAATGTTGGATATTGACTTGGATTTAAGAATGGAGTGTTCTTTTAAGGGAATAAAGAGATTAACTCATCTCTATTTTCCCTAAAATTACTACCAAATTCTAACGTTTTTTCTGCATAATGTCTTGGGAAATTATTAGAAAAACTTAGAAAGGTTAGAAATGGTATTTTAGGATTTCTGAGAGTTCAGTTTTTACTGCCATTTGTGGCTGGCAGTGTTCCGCAATGCCTGAGATATAAACTCTACCTACTACCTTGTAAGCTAGCCTTGTGTTAAAGGTCCAGTGTGTAACATTTAGGAAGATCTATTGGCGATGATTTTTTTGGTATGTATATATTCTTAGTGTGATATCACACTGAACATTACCTATGAATGAAATTATGATATAATATATAATACATCAGGATGTATTATGGAGTCATAGAATGATCACAGGAACCAGAAGGGACAAACCAACTGGCACTAGATGGGCCTTTTATATTGATTATATCCGGAGGGGCGGGAGAGGTAATTACGTAGGCACGAATAAGATTTACATGGAGATGAGTGTATTCGTATGGTTAGCAAGACAAAACTTCACAACAGATAATAATCCACATAAAACAACATACACACGGTCCTTATTAGATAGTGAGATTTGTATTTGAGAGTCTTTGGTGATATTTTTCAGTAAACCCAAATCGCGTGTTGGCGAAGAAAAGAGGTCACAACGAAGCAAAGAAGAAACAGATCGTTAAAGATAAATAAGATATTATGTGATCCTCCCACAATAGCATATTTACCTTCTACTCTATAACACACATTGTTTTTTTGAACGTGATAATACAGTATGATCATACTTTTTTTAAATTTTTTTTTTTTCAATTTGCATAATGTTTTTTTTCACAATGCCACTTAGAATGCCAACAAGGCTCACAAAATACAGACCCTCAACTAAGATTTTCCCCTCACAGTAAACATGACAACATGAACTCGGTCAAAAGCCTGAACAGTATGAGGACGATGGAGAAGCACAGCATCCAGAACACCATACATATATAAGGTAGGGCAATGCTCAACAGATAACACCAACAAATAAAACAATGATATACATGGATTCAGAAATGAAAACTATTTTTTTCAGTTACGAAGATATCCTAAATAACAAAAGAATAGTCCCTTGTGTTTAGGTTCAAAGAGTAAACAGCGTGTGTACTACACGGAGAGGATTTAGTGGGTAGCAGGGTGACACTTGAAACAGCGTACGCCAACACCTGCAGGTCGCAACCAAACACAACACGTTTACGTTGCGTCACCTGCCAGTCCTTCCTATCAGCTTTAAGAGGCTGCATTTTCCCTTGCTTTCCTTCCGCCTTTTGTTTAACGGGCTGCCTGAAATGCACAGTGTGGATCGGGCGCTTTTTGTTTTGCGGGTGCTTATTGCAAATCCGATCTGAATTGTTTGGGGTAAGCATGGGGATTGCGTACTGTGCAGATGTAGCCATTATAGACAGTCCCACTTTGATACTTGTAAACTTCTGCTACACTTTGGCTCCACCCGCCCACCCAGGGGAAAAGTTTGGAAGGATCAAGTTATGCAGTTTTTTTTGCCACCAGAGAGTTATGGAGGGAAATAGCCGTAAGAAATTAAGTATTGCTAAAGAGACAATAATGAGATAAAGAGAGATACTTGACATAAGATACACAGACAAGAGGGCGGGGGGAGGGGGGGGGGGAAGGGGGGGGGGGGGGGGACTTCTACAAAGGCGACTGCATCACAGGGGAACTCTGTCTCGTTCACGTTTGTGCTAAAACTAACTGGATGAGTGACAGCAAGTCCACTCATCGGTATCTGCTGACCTGGCCTTTCAAACTGCAGATCTTACCCTGGAGCTTTAGGATACACACACACACATTAACACACAGCAGAGCAATTAACCTACTGAAAATTACCAAGGGAAACAAAAGCAGAGATGACCATAATGTCACATTTATTCAACTTAGCACGTTTGTCTCTCTATACTGTATATACTGTATGTAGAATTTCATATATGAATACACTCCATTTTTAGAACACAAAGTGCCTCAACTGATACATCTTAATACACTTATTGCGAGGAGGGATACCACAGCAAGAAAAGTGATTGAGTGTCACGGCGCAACTTAGCAACCAACCACCTTGTTACCTGACTCGCCATCAAAAGACAGATGTGTGGACAGAGCCGCGTGGCCCAGATGTGCTATGTTGTTGTCTTATTTACAGGAGCAATATCTATACAGTAGATAGTCTCTTTTAAGGACGTGTCCAGTTTGCTTTGCTCTCCCTTTTTTTTCTCTCCACAGAAAAGCAAAAAGAGAAACCAGGAAAATGTAAATGCTTGTCAAAGTCCTCCCAGGATTTCCTCTTGATCATTAAGTTTCCTGCTCGCTGAGCCACTGGCTGGCTGGCTGTCAGTCATTGGGGTTTTTTTTGCGTGCCTCCTCGTCCATATTGTCCTGCAGGAGTGGCCCACTGCAATAGGTCCTCATACTGATGACTTATCCCACCGTCATTCAAATAGGAAAAGAACTGTCTAAATAAAATATAAACACATCTCTAAATATCAGAAATGCATAATCTGTCTTTGTTGAGCATCATTTCAGAAGAACTTGCCATGCACAGTCACAGCTATTTTCAATATAAGCACAGAAAATGAGAACGTAGTACAAATCTATGGTGCTCCTTCAGCATATATGCAGATTTAGAAAAGCTCTATTGTATATTGCAGTGCTGTAAGTGGGGGTGATTCAATAATTTGGAGTACAGACAAAGAGAAATGTTTGCGAGAGCTCTTCTTTTTTAGTTGTTTGACTTTTTGCCGAGCTATGTGTAAGATTCATCTAGCTGTGAGCCAGTTGCTAAGCAACCCTTTGCTACTGGTATAGACATAGGGATGGTTGAGGCACATCGCTGCATGGTTATGTCTGCTGTCCCACACCTGTTGGTGCACAGAGGCAATTTATGTCTGTCAGGAAATAAACATGAATGACTGAAATGACAAAGCAAAGGCTGCTTCGGTTTGAATGATTTGATATGAGGACTTCAGGCTCGTCCGTCTGGTTCGGGGATTTGAGAGCAGTTAGTAGCCCTTGGTGATGGCTGTGATGAAGTGTGAACTGTGCAGTAAAAGAGCAGAAGTGGAAAAAGTTGCAAACAACAAACAAATGTGTAAATCATGCAAATTTCCAACCAAATCTGGTGGCACATGATGCAAAATGCAGTTTTTCTCCGCAGTGATGATATCATTTGTTTACATTTTGTTTTGTTATACTCAGTATTAATGTGGTGATTATCCACTGATTAAAATGCTACAAGCAGCACCTTTAATGGCGCCATCAAGAGTGCATGTTGTCTCTGCAATCACATACAGGTATTATGGAATAGCATCATTGAATAACCCCCCTTTTAGTACACACATACACAATAACACAAATTTTAACTCATGACCAAAAAGGGTGAGAGGGTGATGCACTGCAATGTGACCCTCATGCTTGCTCAGAAGGTTACCTTTCCACCATGGCGGTGCCTTCCCCCCATGCCATTAAGATAGAACGCTGCTCTCTGCTTGTGTGAAACCAGTAAAGACAACCTCTTTGCAGTTATCTGTGAGTAAACAACCAGAGACACAACAGCACTTTGGTGGCACTCCATCAAAGAAAAAAACATAAAGGAAGTGGGGAGAAAGTTAATCGGGAAAAAATAGCAGCATACATGCAGAGATAATCGAACACCTGACTGGCATTCTGTGTTTTCAGTCTCCTGGGTGGATTGTTGGTGAAGCCAATGGCAAAATAAGACACAATACAAGTCGAGTGTAGCCCCCTAAACCCCAACATAATAACATTAAATTAAAAATACTATATATTTCCTTAAGCACTCCTCTCTGTCTGCCTCGTCCCTTCTCCCCTCGCCACATTGCTTGCAGACGATGGTTACAGGATGATCCATGCAAAAACATGAGTGGACCCGGCAGCAGGTGAAGACTGACAGACTGTACATGTGCTTGTGTGAGTCGAAACACAGTCCTGAAAGACAAAATCCTCCGTCCTGTTGCCCATCCCTCCCGCCTCCATCCCAAAAAATAAAGTAGCAAACAAAAGACAAAGTCACAGTTGTATGAGGTTAAAATTAAGTGACATCTCTTTTTTTTCTTTTTTTTGGAAGCACATCTTTTTCAAGGTATCTAAATATATCAACATCTAATATCCCTGATTATTAATTTGTCTTTTATTAAATGTTATGGCTGCTACTTCTGAAGCCACCAGAGTTCTTTTATTGCAAGTCTCAAAGTACGACAATATTGAACTAAAGGGAGCTCCAAGTGACACAGGAGAACTCACTAGTTACTTAAGGATGTAAGCTAAGCACATGTACCTTCAAGGAAAAAGGGGAAGTTGCTCAGGTTGCCCAAGCCACAACATTAGTCTTAGCTACAAAGTTAAGTAATTATCCACTAGTCACAATATCTAGAACAGAGTTCAGATATAATACCAAAGGGAGGTTTGTTTGGGGGTAAGAATGTGGGGTGCTCTGGGCCAAAGTGGCCCAAGGCTGGACGTCTCACAGGATGGAGGGGATAGGGGAGCGAGAGCGCCGCAGCGGGCAGGGCGATCCATAGGGCGAGGTTACAGGAGACAATCTCAGGGCGTTACCGGCCATGCCCGCTATGTTGTTTAAGCTCCGGGATTTCTCATAGCCTTCAGATGAGGGGGCGACAGAGAGGTGGTGGTGGTGGAGGTGGTGGTGGTTGTGCAGGAACAGGACATGAACACACACAGGCAGGCAGGCAGGCAGGCAGGCACGCAGGCAGGCAACGATCCGAGTCCGAGCCAGCCGAGTGAACCGAGACAAGACAGGAGACAGGAGTGAGACAGAGCAACAGTAACATACTGTATGGTGAGTGCATGCACAGCACATTTCCTGACAATGACAGTAAGGCAGATTGGAGTCTTACATAGGCAAATGTTTTGAGCAGTGGCTGCTCCAGAAGGAGAGATAACCTCAGTGGCTGATTAATCCTCAGTGGGCAGAGCCAAAGAACCATAGTCTTTATGATGTAAGATGCATTCCAGCTACACTGGAAACTGCAGCTGGAAGCCCTATCTGACCAGAAAAGATACAGAGCACCATCCTTTGTAATACGTTATAAATATGAAGGTTATATGACTGCTTATGTCTTTTTGGGAAAAAGGTTATAGTTAGCTATTTTATTCCTGCTCTCAAAGCAAGCTAATTTGAAAACAACATTAATTCAGACTGTAATTATGAGCGGCCGTGTAGGAAAAGTCGGCTGCATCAGCCTTCTAGTTGTAAGTGTGAGTCAAGCTATGACTCACGCATCATTCAGCAAAGATGTCAAATCCAAAATTCATTCTAATTCAGTCAATTGAGATAATCAAAAAGGAGGTGTGCACCATTTACTTGTATCTGGTTCCACCCATTACTAAGAGGCGCCACCAAAGGGGGATGCAGAGGGGACATGGCCCCTATGAAACAATCTCTGACCCCCCCCACTGATCATAAACAAGTGGAAACAGATACAAACAAACACAGTTTGGCTCATTTTAGCGGATTTTACTGTGGAAATATTAATGTTTGATTAAATGGCATGGTTGCCATTTTGCTTCTGGTTTGCTGACACTTTTTTTCACCAAGTGGATGTTGATATGATATCCATACCTCTGAATTACAACTAGGAGGCTGACATACAGTTGTTCCCACTCAATGGTTTGCAATTACGACACTAGCTGCATTAAAATATCTGTTAATAATATATGTTTGCCATTTAGTTTAGCTGGACTTCCAGAAGCCAGTAAGTTAACATGCTGATGTTCCAACATAATGCATGTGATGCTTATGAATGAATGAAATTATGAAATCACCTCTGTCTCTATAATGCCATTTGGCTGAAAATGGTTCTCTGGCTCCACCCACTCACTCAACCAATCAGATTGCTTTATACCCTCCTCCACCATTGAGAAATGCCTGTGTGATTAAAATTCCAGTCTGCCAGAGTTAAAGGTGGAAAACTATTAGTCAAATAAGAGATACTATTGTTCTTAAAGTGGTAGTGTTGAAAAATAGAATCACACATTAGCAATCATTCATCTCAAGGCATCATCATTAGTATTTTCTCTCACAAGAAATTGGTTACTATAAGAAATTCTTACTAGAACGGTATTAAGTATAAACTGCTCGTTCACATTGAAGCACACAGTTTAAATATAACAGTCATACAGATTAAGACTACCAACATGCACATTATGTATCAAATATAACCCACTGTTTAAGTGTGTACAGATTCAGGTTGTACCCTGCACATACTGATGATGATGAGGATGATTAAAAAGACTTTAATTATTAATGCTTCAATTATCGGTACAGATTCACACTTTGCAACAGATCAAACTTCTAAAAATGCAGCATGTGATGCACGCTGGCAAATTTGCATTCGGTCACTTGGTGCATTTTGGTGCAAAATAAACAAGCAAGCCAAAGCAGCCAGATCATTAACGGAGCATGCCAATCAGCTGGCGTAAACACTGATGAGGAACAGTTAATGGAAACGTGGCCTCATTACCATACTGCATACGGCACCATTTGTTTCACTGAGGAGAAGGGTGTAAATTAAACGGGGGCTGTTTCAGAACCAGTCGAGCAGGCAGAACAAAGGGTGGTCTGGGCCTATGCCAACAGGTAGCAGGGACTAGAAAGGACCCGATGTTTTATGTATTAGCGACAGTGTGGCGGCAAATGCAACCATCGAGTGAAGCAGCGGAGACGAAGGCACAGCTGCTCGGCCGCCTACGCTGGAAAAAATAAGACTGGCGAGGTGCCCCACTGTGAGCGAGACCACCACAATGTGCTCGCTAGAAGATCTGGACCACGTGTACAGTGTTTTAACTTGTTAATCTAAAACCTGGCTTGAAAAACATCAGCAAAGTATTTAGATTTTGTCCTACAGTGCAGTTGAGAATAACAGTAAACCTGAATGATGTATGATCTCACTAGAATTCTCACAGGATAGGAGCTGAAATTCAATTTTTGTGGCACTCTAATGGTATGAGAGCATTGACCAGCCTGCTATAGAGTGAGTACAGTAGTGCTACGAGGCTATAGAGCAATAATGTTAAGAGCAGGACGTTTTAGGCAGTTAACTTCTGTTAGAAGGCAATTAGCCGAGGCTTACCGCTTTCACATTACAGTGCAGATTAACACAACATTAAAGCCTCAAGATGCCTGAGATAAAATGGAGGAATTTATCTAAGAAAACATGCTTCAGGCCTCACAGGGAGTCTAAATATTATTTTAGTGTGGTCAAACTGTAACTGACAGTATTGTACAGAAATACTGTCTTTTATGATTTTGCTGCGGGGAAAACTACGGTGGCCCTGAGGTGCAAATGACAACAGCAAATCAGAAAACACAACAACAAAAGAGAAAA